CTAATAATCTTACTGTTTGCCTGTAAGTAACTCTGCTCAAAGTTATTGAGAAGGGGATGAATGCATGATGCGCATTTATGTTGTGTGACTGCTTGGTTCACACTCACCTGAAAAGGTAATGGTAACCTTAGACTTAGCTTTTAATACAACCTGAGCAATGGCTAGGAGATAGAGGAGTTCAGTGGAGATTAGAGAAGACTGATCTAACATACTTTTATAGGGAAAAACTCTTAAGGGAGGATGATTAGGAAGAATAAATTCTGATCAGAGTCACACATCAGTGAAATACACTTGTCATTTCAATAATTTTTGCTTTAAAAACTAACATGGGGGGAAGGAATTTGGGTTTTATTCCACTGTTTTATGTGATCACTTTATCCCCTTAAGACAATATGTTGTGGTAAAGTTATATCTGCTGGTTCAACTAGAGATGTCCCCAACTCAGAGTGGAATTTAAAGAATAAGTCTTCCAGTTTTAGTTTGGAATCAAGATGGTAGAAAGAGGTATGCACATTCATGCATTTTTATGCAAAGAAAGGTCTATGCCATTACAATCTCTTGGTTCCTCTGCATTTCCAAATCAAAAAATTTCCATTATGTGGTTAGGAAAGGGAAGAGTACCTATTGGAAATACTGTGCCAAGGAGAACAGTAGGGAAAAAAGCACAAAGGAATAGAATTTTAAGAGCCTGCTGTGCAGCACAACTGGAAGCATGTCAACCAGAGTTCAGGAACTGGAGTGGCACTGGTAGAAAATGGCAAGACTAGGATTAAGGCAGATTGAGGAAAAAGCTGGCATGATTTTTGTCTGGGGAAGAGTGCTTTAAGAGCATACTAACACAGCTGCTTCATCACAGAGTTTGTGAGAATCATATTCATGTTCATGAAAGGGTAGCTGGTAACTATAATTGGTATTACATGCAAGAATGTGGGTGCCAACATGAGTGAGAGATGGAGACAAGCATTAGATGATAAAAGGAACTTGTGTGCATGCAATTGTTCTATATCAGTTGTTCCTATAAAAACTGGTGACCTGGATATGTATATCTATTCATACTGGAATATTCATCCCAATAATTCCATGTATGACTTAGAGAAGCATTGTGATGTAGGTGGGCATCCTTCTCGACAATGCGCATGCATCCTTGATTAGACACCTAGATTCTTGTACTTGCAATCCAGCTATATACAATTTTTGTTCAATGCTCATATTCTTTCCATGATTTAAACAAGGCCAATTTTCAAAAGTGACAGCTGATTAATTTTTTCTCCGAAAACCGTTTGAGAATCCAGGTGAAAACAATTACTACAACTCTCTCTCTCACACACATACCATACCAACAAAATTTTATATGATTTATCTTCCTTTTAAACACTATCCATTACCTACTCTTTTCTCAACTAGAACACAATTAAAGATTATTCAGTGTAAGAAAATAATAAGCTATACACATACCCCTATTTGGTTTCTAGAAAATGTATATGATTTTTAAAAAGTTAACTTCTGTCTCTTCCATTTCTTCAGGAAAAATACTGATCCGACTTGAGGTGAATGGGTTTAGTTATATCACTGAGCATAACACCATAGAAACACTGGGTAGATTGCTGCCTGGGTAACAAATGAATCTCTCCTGCATAAAATAAAATAGTAGGAAAGGAGAAAAGAGGACCTGGAAGAAAGTGAAAACAGTGAAGTATGAAGCGGCGTTAATGTTAATAGTTAAGTTTCGAGATCTTGGAGGAGCCATTTCTTCACTGTAAAGCAAATGCTGACAGAATTACTAGGCAGGGCATGCATTGGGACACTACAAAGTTTGCCCACTTCATCATGGATTTCTATAAATAGCGGCACCTCAATTAGAATTCTGAGAAAGGCAGACAAAACAGAACTATCTGAAAATTCACAACACTTATCTCAGGGTTCCTTAATGGAATTGTAAGAAGGAAATCAGTATAATACCACCTTAGATTTATAAGGCAGATTATCTACAGTGGGCAAAAAAGTATTTAGTCAGCCACCAATTGTGCAAGTTCTCCCACTTAAAAAGATGAGAGAGGCCTGTAATTTTCATCATAGGTATACCTCAATAGGTATACCTCAACTATGAGAGACAAAATGGGAAAAAAAATCCAGAAAATCACATTGTCTGATTTTTAAAGTATTTGCAAATGATGGTGGAAAATAAGTATTTGGTCACCTACAAACAATTTTTTTTCCCATTTTGTCTCTCATAGTTGAGGTATACCTATGATGAAAATTACAGGCCTCTCTCATCTTTTTAAGTGGGAGAACTTGCACAATTGGTGGCTGACTAAATACTTTTTTGCCCCACTGTACATTTAAACTGGGACAATCACTTTTCTGAAAACATGTCAGATCAACTGCAATCTCCTGGACCAGCACTCCAGTAATCCATCATTTTTTTTCCCATTTTGTCTCTCATAGTTGAGGTATACCTATGATGAAAATTACAGGCCTCTCTCATCTTTTTAAGTGGGAGAACTTGCACAATTGGTGGCTGACTAAATACTTTTTTGCCCCACTGTACATTTAAACTGGGACAATCACTTTTCTGAAAACATGTCAGATCAACTGCAATCTCCTGGACCAGCACTCCAGTAATCCATCATTTTTTTTCCCATTTTGTCTCTCATAGTTGAGGTATACCTATGATGAAAATTACAGGCCTCTCTCATCTTTTTAAGTGGGAGAACTTGCACAATTGGTGGCTGACTAAATACTTTTTTGCCCCACTGTACATTTAAACTGGGACAATCACTTTTCTGAAAACATGTCAGATCAACTGCAATCTCCTGGACCAGCACTCCAGTAATCCATCATTTTTTTTCCCATTTTGTCTCTCATAGTTGAGGTATACCTATGATGAAAATTACAGGCCTCTCTCATCTTTTTAAGTGGGAGAACTTGCACAATTGGTGGCTGACTAAATACTTTTTTGCCCCACTGTACATTTAAACTGGGACAATCACTTTTCTGAAAACATGTCAGATCAACTGCAATCTCCTGGACCAGCACTCCAGTAATCCATCATTTTTTTTCCCATTTTGTCTCTCATAGTTGAGGTATACCTATGATGAAAATTACAGGCCTCTCTCATCTTTTTAAGTGGGAGAACTTGCACAATTGGTGGCTGACTAAATACTTTTTTGCCCCACTGTACATTTAAACTGGGACAATCACTTTTCTGAAAACATGTCAGATCAACTGCAATCTCCTGGACCAGCACTCCAGTAATCCATCCAACCTGGCTGCTTGAGCTCAAAAATCTCTCAACTATCTCCCTGCAAAATTAGTATTACTTTATACCTCTTTAGGTACAGTAGTCATCTTTCTCTTTGCCCCTCCCCACAGTGTTAGAAAACGTCCTGAACTTACTAAAGTCAGCAACGAACAAGAATGCCTATTCTGACCAAAGAAAATCAGCAACATGCCTTGAAGTACAAAGCAACTATTTTCTGAGCAAAGTAGGACATGCACATGAAGCATATTAAAGTGGGGGGGGGGGAATCCACCCACATTACTTCTCAGGCAAGACTGGTACATTCACATTCACACAGGTAGTGGGCGAGTGTTCCATCAAGGTATGCAAAAAAGGTTTCATTACGCTCAATCAGCAGCACTATTCACACTTATTCCCAGCTAAGTGGGCTCAATATGGCATTCTTAGTGTTCAACACTGGTGAAATTAATCTAGATTTGTATCAATTTGTGAAACCATTTAGAAATGTGTTCCTCCCCAGTTACAAAAATAAATGTACCAAGGGGTACTCTGGAGCTAGATGATGGTATGAAAACTATCTCCCCTTGTCAACCAGGACCTAATTGTCAGAATGTGTATATCTCTCAGACAGAGAACTGGGTTGATTTTGAGCCCCCCTCATATAGAGAAGATACACACATATATATGTATGCAAAGTAAATGTACATCCCCCTAGCCTAAAACTGGTTGAATCTAAAGTTTGCAACCCCTGCTGAAATACAACCAGTACAGTTAGGTGGTTTAATTGTTTATAAAAGATTTACACCTTAACTTGTTTCTCTTTGCAAACAGACAATTATTGAGACTCAGTTATAACTGTTGAGTTTTCTTTGGAAAAGGAAAACTTTTTCCAGGCCAGTTTTGGTTCAGTTTACAGACAAATTCATTTGAGACATTACTGACACTGGTTAATACCTTCATGTGAAATCAGATACCAGTGAAACTGGTGTCTGCCCCAAACTGCGTCTGTCCAACATGTTAGAACTGCAACTCTCAGAATGCTGGGCAGACTGGAATCCTGGGTGCTGTCATCTCATCTTATTTGGAAGAATCCTAGATTGTGGGGTTAAGGTGCCCCAGCATTTGTAATCTTTTTCAGAGAGAGATGTAACATTACCCATGCCTTGGAATTTGTCTTCATGGAAGTTCAAGAACAAGGATTTCCAGCTTTAAGTTCCTTTATTAAAAAGATTGACAACCCCCACCCCCCGCTTGCCTTTCCCAATTGGGGAGATTGGTTTTAATTGGCTCAAAGGAAGGCTTAGGAAGTGTCTGGCAACAACTAACATGAATGCACAAAGGATAATTTAAGGACTGTTAATGGGAGGAATAAAGGGTCTAATTGCCAACAAGAATAACTAGTTCAGTATCCCAAGGTTTCCAAGGAAGAGAGAGATTCGTTCAATATGATTATGACTTACAGGTAGTCCTCACTTAATGACCACAATAGGGACTGGAAAATTGGTTGTTAAGCAAGTCGCCACGTGACCGGACCTGATTTTATGACCATTTTATAACAGTTGTTAAGTGAATCACAAGGTCATTAAATGAATCCAGCTTCTCCAATGGACTTTTTTGCTGGAATTCACTTCATGGGTACATGATTCGCTTAACGACTGCAGTGATTCGCTTAATGACTGTCGTAAAATGGTTGCAAATCACAATCATGTGACTGTGGAGGGTGGTGCGATGGTCATAAGTGTGAGTACAGGTTGTAAAGCACTTTTTCCAGGGCTGCTGTAACTTTGAACCATCATTAAACGAACAGTCATTAAGTGAGGACTACCTGTATTGCCTTAATCATGCCAACAAAACTATGAAAAGTCAAAATTTCCTGCTTTGCCCACTTACTTACTTTCTATCTCAAGATGGAATCCAACCAGAAGTCCTTTACTCTAGGTTAAACATAACTCAGGAGCCGCATTAATATGAAATTGGCCTTTAGTGGGGAAAAACAAAAGGTAAGGTTTCATATTGTGGTTAGTTACTTTTTGGAGACTTTCAACCATTTGGTAAAGATTCTTCCTAGCTGTCTGGAGCTGGGGATTGGTCTGAAACATCCACACATGTTGGTGAACATGTAGCACTGGTTGGATTAAGGAAGTGATGCTTTCTTCCTTGGCTCTGTCTTCCATCAAAATCTGCTTTGTAAACCTCATGATGTTTGCCTCTGGCAAACTATCTGAAGCGGAAGAAAGGGTTGGTATTTAAATCCATAGCATTACTATTCTGTTCCCTAATCCACAAGCACATACTGGAGGGGAATGACCCTTTAATGAAAACTATTTTAAAAGCAAATTCTAAGAACATTTCTAGCTATGACAGCAGAACTAGACAGATAAATTTGCCTTTTACGATTAACTCCTAGAGAGATAGCCCTTCTGGTCACTGTATAGACTGCATGGATATGTCCAATACTGCAAACTGGCTGAAAACTGAGTAACATGCAGACACATTCTGTGTTAAAAATAACCACTTCATAGAAAAAGCTGGCTTAGAAGAAATGGAGACTGTGTTAGAGGATAATACCAATCTCAGCATCCGAGTTTAGGGAAGGTTCTTGTTTTCTGTACTGGCTCTGTGCTAATAAAAAGGCAACAAGGATAGTGCCCTGCATGATATATTAATTCAGGAGATTAGAATGGTCTAAACTACAGGACAAATCAGTGTGTGCCACAGCTAGAGAAAGTGCATAGGTTCAGAGGCATGAAAGCAGATGAGAGTGTGCATGCGTGCAAGTATACTTATGTTGTGAGGACATCAAGAATGGCAGGAGAGGAAAGGAACTGTCTCCCTGCCTAAGACCTAAATGTACCTAAGCAAAAATGGAAGGGGCAGGACTGGAACTGAGAAGAGCAAAGGCGACAGCCCAAGAATGCTGGGATCAGTCCTTTTCCTGCTTGTGTTTGTTGTAACACCAACATTTCCCCATTCTCTAGAATGGAAAGACTTACTAATGGTTAGTCCAAGTTACTGTACAGCCCTAATCTGGAGACAACACACATCTGATGGGGGAACAGGCAGTGCTCTGGACATTACTTCCTTGGATCATGGCCTGTATTTGCAAGTGGATTTAGTTGTTCTTCCTCCCACTAAAATATCTTTATCAAAGCAGTAACAAAAGGAGGGGGTGAGAGAGGAGAAATGCCAGTTGGAACTGCCAGTGCAGTAGCAACAGCAGCAGGATCTCTCCTCTGAACTCAAACTACCTGTGGTGCCTGAGGAAGTAAGGTCAATATTTTAGAATCTTTGTTTTAAAAAAGGAGACGGCACAATGCTTTCTTTCCCCTCTGCCAAAACAAAAAACAAACCAACAACAACGAAAAGAAAATGAGAAAAGGTGGAAAACGATTCTACAAAAAAATCAAATTAGGAAATAAAAACCATCGCCTGGAAAAAGAGGTGGGCACACTTCACTGGAGGCCCTCGGCTGAGGTGCCTGCATCCCCATCATGGCTGCTGGTCTCAAAGTTGTGCTCCACACCCATGATGTCTGGCTCCATCTTGCCAGTGTCATTGATGAAGGTTGTGTAGGTGTCGCCTTCAGCCATCAGTAGTTTCAGTTTAGGGATCCAGCTCTTACGGACAACACGTCGTGCATTTGTGCACATATCAGCAGCAATTGCATTCATCTCACTCTCCTTGAAGTTCGGGGCAAAGTTCTGGCAATAAACTGAAGAAAGAAAATGAAGGTCCACCTTGATCACAGTTGCTATAGGGACAATTGGGAACATTCCCATGGCTCTTTGCCTCTCTCTGTTTCTAGCCTCAAGACCTACTCAAGCTTGAAGAGTCAGAGCCAAGTTTACAACTGCAGCAGCAACTGGGAGAAAGGACTAACTTCCAAGCTTTTAAATACAGCACTACATTTATCTGTGGTGTAAGCATTATAGATTTCAGTAACTCAAAGGGATTAAGTACAATGGACTAGCTAGATTTCCCGGGCTCCCCCATCTTTCCAGAGGGAAGTACTAGTTTACTCCTGTATTTTCTTCACTCTCCCACCAAAAATATTTTGAAGAGACACTCACACTTCACAGCATGCAGCACTCGGCTGTCAAGGGGTTTCCGGCTGGGGTCATTGGTGGAGGAGCGGATTCCAGTGCCACAACTGTTGGCAAGGGTGTTCCTAGCAATGGTTCAAAAGAAAGCAATTAAAACTTTATTACATGCTGTGTCTCAATGTGCTCTTCCTCTAAATGGCCAATTCTGTCCATTTGTATTCTATCTGTCTTTAGCTGAGTTCTTGTCTTGCTCCTTGAGCCCAGGACTACACCTCCAAAGCAGAAAGGCACACTAGGATGAGGAGGAGAAAACAGGAGGAAGAGACACACACACATACATACATACACTCCTTTCTCTATAACACAGCAGATCATTTACTCACCGGTCAAAGAAGGATGCTAGTAGCCGCCTGAGAAGCACTTTGTGCCGCGTCCCAGCACTAACATGGCAATTCATCAGCTGTGCCCGAGTGATGTACACATTAGTACCTGAGTAGAAACAAAGCCTGCTGTGTACATTTAAACTGGGTATAGACCAATGAACCATCTTATAAGCATCACCACAATATCAAATGCTTTATGTAATGGACAAGAGATAATGAGGTTAGGATGAGATTCATCCCATTTCTTGCTGCTTCCAATATTGTGATGCAGTACAATGGGCTGGCAAATAGGCTTCATTTGGTGGCTTTGATCCAGCTGCCAAGTCAGCTACACAAATGGCCTTTGTAATACTGAACATGAGCTGTTTGGGAGCCATATTTGTGGCTAGCAATTTTGGTGGCTTGCAGATGTCAGAGGACAAAGTCAAACCTAAGCAAGACAAGAGCTGTGAAATTCTATACATGTGGAATTGCTTGCAAAAAAGATTATTTTGCTGGATTGGAAGAGGCTTGTATCTTTAGCGACTCAGATCAGACAGAGTAAAAAAGATTTTGGCATGTGCACAGAGGCAGGAGCTGCTAAATATGACTGACTGAACTGAGGCACTGAACAGTTTCTTCTTTTTCTACTCAGTGCTGGCCACCAATCAGTAGGTGGTGTGTTAGTCCCTTGCAGGACAGGGGAAGCCCATAAAGACCAATTACCTATATGCCATATTCAGAAACTATACTCACCAAAAAGTCATAGGACATGATGGAGTCCTTTTCAGATCATTTTAACTGCTGCCATTGAGCAAAACTACAAGGATGAAACGTGGATCTGCTTTGGGCAAGCAATCCCCACAACAAATTGGACTCCAAATCTATACCCACGTGTAATGCCACACCCACTTCAGTGGAAAAAGGCATGCATAACGTTACTTTGTTATTCATTTTCCTCAGATCTCTTTTCCATGGCTCAGTATTCTGAGAGCTACAAAGTGTCATAACAGGCAATGCTAATACTCTTTCCTTTATAATTTTGGGAGCTAATTTTGGGGCATCTTTAAGTTATGTTGCCCAGAATAAGTAGACTTCCCAAAATCTCCTATAACGTAACAATCAGGATTGCTCTTCCCTTAGACACAACATTAACCCCAAAAAGAACAGAATTAATCTCAGGTAAGAGGTAAGCAAGATTTTTCTTATTTACTGAACTCAGTTTCAACACTAAGCAGGCCTACCTATCACAAGTTCCAGTTTCTCAGCTGGGTCACCCTCGTCATACAGCTTCGGATGGCATCGGTTTCCTATCTGGTTGATGAGCTCTGCAGGCAGTGAAGCTAAGTCCTGCCGCACTCGTATCCGGTTGCGAGACTCTGACTGCACCTGATCTGGCAGTGCTTCTACTTTTTCTGCTGGGAAAAGAAGAAAAGGAAGGACAGGAGGAAAATTGGAGAAAGAATGTGGTGAGTAGGTATGAAATGAAGGTACCAAGACTATTCTTCTCTTTGAAATGTTTAAACTCTGCAACTACATTTTCAATGCACTCTTGAAGAGTATTCTTAAGCAAGTCATTCAAATTCACAGATCCTCTTGAACTCAGAAATTACTGCCTTTTTTTTTAAATGGAATCACAACAACTATCTCCCAGGCACAGAATGTCATTTATGAGCTTATGTTTCAGTCCTTTTCCATAAAAATGTTGTAGTCTGGCTGTATTTCCTCACTATAACAAACAAAGGAAGCAAAGATGTGCAATGCTGACAGGTGGAGAAAATCCACTAGCGCTGGATTTGTTTATGTCATCTCATGCAGAAGATTGCTATTCCTCCTCCTCGTCCATATTTATAGGGCACATTCCCAAAATGTTTCACAAAAACTTCAGCCACCAGGGAAATATAGTCTGGGAAGCAATCTGAGAGGCTGAAAATTGCAGCTTTTCTAAAGTGATCGAATCCTCAATACTTATTTTTTCTTTATTTTTTAAAAACAAGCCATACACTATTTTTTTCAGCAGATTCAGCGATAGAATGCAATGCTTTAAAACTATCTACAACAAACAAACTAACGAAAAACAAAGGACATATGGTGCAGCAGACGTGAAGCAAAAAGAATTTGTCAAAGGCTGAAAAAAAGAAAAGTCCTCAGTTGCCTCTTACAAGGATGGCATGGAGTGCTTAAAGCACCTCTGATGGGATGCAATCCCAAAATATTAAAGTTAAAATAGAGAAAGACTCACTGGTTGTGGAGGTCAAGCTGGCCCAACCTCAGGTGAAACCTTCAGTAAGGTCTCCTCAGTCAATCCCTGAGACTAGGCTGTTGGGCTGTTGAGCCTTTTAGGTAAAAAAGAAACAACTGCTTGGATTTGGGTAGTATATGAACAAGCAATTTGTGAATGGCCTAAATGTACATATTACAGAAGAATGCTAGCTCAGGCCTGTCAGTAGGTGACAGGAACATTCTGCACTATACCATTTCCAGTATTTCTGAACTTTCTTTGAGGACAGCACCAGTAGCCCTGTTTAGAAGTCACCAAGGCAGAAATGACAACTCTTGATTTTGCTAAGCTTAAACATCTTGCTATGATTGTACTTTCCAATGTACATTTTTATTGGTTGTATTTCAGAAGATCTCCCAATCCTTGAGCAGAAAAGACATGAAAAGGTCCAGAAGACACAAGTTCCCATCATCTCTACTGTAGCATCCCAGGTTGACATTCAAAGTCGCAGTTACCCCCGCCCCTTACTTTATGTGTTCAGGTAGAGGCTGACAGCCATCTGTCATGGATATTGGTTTCCTGCATTGAGCAGGGAGTTCAACTTGATGATTTAAATTGTCCCCTCCTATTTTACTTCTATGAGCAAGAGAACAAAAGTCACCTGCAGAAAAAACATCTAGCCAATGCAGGCTCTCCCATTGTTGCTTGGCCTCAGAGTATGGACTCAAAGCCTTGGTCAGCCAGCTACTTACAAGTATAATACCACTCTATAAATATTATTCATACTACTCCTCTAGGGTGCCATTATTATTAATATTTAGACATTTATTTCCAATCATTCCTAGTTTAAAGTCCTTCTCAGCATTGCTTCACACATTATAACAGAAGCATCTCTCTTTCTCTCTCTCACTCTCTCTCTCTCTCTCACATACACACACACACCCATGAAATATATCAGAATGCATCCATTTCTATTTCATATTGGTCAACTGCAATGTTGTATACATTCTGCACAAACAAATGGAAGCTCATATCAGGAATCAAAGTCAACTGTGGATACCTACTGCATATTTCTGTGAATCAAAGAGAGGCATAGCCATCTCACTTTTTAAACAGAAATGAACATATTCAACGTGTATCTGTTTCTGCAATAAATGTAAAGCTAAGCAGCCAATATGCAAAGGTGAGATTCAAGGATTGTGTTGTCATGCTTACTGCCCAACCTCCAAGATCTCCCTTGTATCTCATCTCTGCACTTGACTGAATGTTTTCATCAAAACAGAGGTAGAGTGAGATACACTCCCTTTCCTTTGTTTAAAGCAAACAGAACACAGCCACAATACTTGTTAACAGTCCACATGGGACACTCACCCGTCTGCCCTACATTCATCATGCTGTACATTGTGTACATGTTGCAGATTTGTCGGTACTGTTCATCGGAGCCTTCCTCAGGTGCATCTTCCTCTTCATCTTCTTCATTATGATAAGAACTGGGGCTGTCACTGGTGTAGGCACTGGAGGTGCCAGGACTTGTCTGGTCTGAAGTACTGGGGCCACTGACCACGCCTGCCCCTCCACCTCCCCCCGTTAGTGCTGCCTGTTGCTGTTGCTGGCCCTGTTGTGGTTGCTGCTGCTGGGCCTGTTGCTGTTGTTGCACTTGTTGCTGAGCCTGCCGGCTCCCCCCGCTCAACTCCTGCTGGGAGGAGATCTTGGCCATTTTGCGGCTGCCATTACTGCCACCACCACCCCCTTCCTTCTGGCTGCTCTCCCAGAGCCGCTTAACCACAAACGTGCATTGGACGGAGTCCGAGTCCTGTTGCTCTGTCTTTACACGAGAGACCAGGGGTAAGGGCGTATTGCCAGAAGGCCAGGTAGATGTCTGTGCCACAGGGCTCTGTGGCTCAGAGGAAGGTGCCTCCTCAGTGTGCAAGCCTTGTGAGTCACAGCTGGGTGAGCTGACCTTCAGGAAGAACTCAGTCCCCTTTTCCATAATCTCCTGGATCTGCAGGAATCCTGCTGTGTACATGAGCAGAAACTGGTCACCCACATTCATGCTTAGGCGGCCAGTGTAGCAGAAACTAAGGATCTGCTGAAAGGACTGAGGTTGCACAGCAGCAGGAAGCTCCACCACCGTACTCTTGCTGTTGTTGAAAAGGTCCCGGAAGTAGCAGCTACTTGCAGCCAGCACGGCCCGGTGTGCCTTGAAAGCATGGCCTTTCACTACCACTGAGACATCACAATACAGCCCCTGTAACCGCTGCTCATTCAGGCATTCCAAGATGCTATTACCAAAGTTGGGGATCTCCATCTGGAGAATTTGAGCCATCCTCTTCTTCTCCTCCTCACCCAGATGAGTGCACTGGAAAAGGAATAAGGAGCCAGAGAAGTTAAATGTGGAATGAACACGGAAAAAGAACAAAGGGAGGAGACTAGGCCAAAGAGAGAGATCAGCTAGAAGTGGGCAATCTTTTGGCAGCCTGGTCCCACACTTTTTTTTTAACTCAACAGCTGAGGGCTACAGTGGGCAAGGCCTTGAAGTGGTGATGTCATGCAAACAGGAGAGGTAGGGTTTGATAGGGCATTTTTAAAAGGTGCTTTTAAATGTTTAAATCAATCTGACAGCTTATACCTCTTTCTTTGGTTTTCTGTTCTTCTTTCTTTCCATCTCCACAATTTGGTACTTAGTTGCCAAATTTTGATAGTGTGATCTCCAGGGCCTCTGTAGACCACAAAAAAAGGGGTTCATAGGCCATATGAACCCTGTGGACCACACCTTCTATTAGGGAGGCAGTAGAAATGAAGTAGTCCACACAATCAACCATTTTACATACTCTCTCGAGAAATGGAAGCATCAGCATTATATTTTAGTTCTTCCTCCAGTTTACAGTAGCACTAATCCATTCATTTAAAGACTTGGTGTATCATAAACCCAAACCTTTGACAAAATGTAGTTAAGGTCCTTTGCTTTAACCAGACTTGTACCCAAGGTTAGTCATCAGTTTACTTACCTTGTCCTTATCCAGAGGAGAGAGTTAATTTGAGATTAGCCTGCATTTCTAGCCTCCAGCAAAGAGATGGGGAGACTAGAGCAGCTGTAAAATGAAACTTCTTCTTCTGTACCATAGCCATTCCTCCTGTCCCTCGGAATGTGCAAGGGTGAATGGTGTTGAAGTGGGGAGAGAAAAGGAATGGGGGAAGACCACCACATATTTTCCCTTCTTACTGTAAAGAAGCAAACAAACTAGAAACTGATAGCATGCCAGCTACTGCAAAGTGGGCTGAGATGCTATCAAAAGATGGCTGCACCCTATATAACTAGGGCAATCATTGGTTTTCTTAGTCATTTGGGGCCAAAGCACTAGGTAAATCATTTAGCTTAATAAGCACCAGATTGAGTGAGGTACGTTGTGCAAACATGGCCAAAATCATTTCACATCCAATTCACACAAGGAGGAGGAGGAGGAAGATGCAATTTAGATCAAGAGAGGTATGAAAGGTCAACCAATATCCTTGCAGAGAGTTGCATCTTTCTTATCCAATATAAAATGTATCCTCTTTCTTGAAGTGTTTCTCAACCCTTTTGTTGCATTTCATTGTCTTACTTTCTTCTCTTGGATCTTGAAAGAACCCAAAAGCCATTGCTTTCAGCTAAACTGAAATGCTTGTAAAAAATCAGTCCACTTTACGATTGACACACACACACACACACACACTTTAAATACTGTTTTATTAGTAGCTTTTATTGCTAACTTAATTTATTTTTCTTTTTATAAGACATCTGGACCTGAGGTAATTGTTTAATAAATATTATAAATGAATCAATATATAAATAAATAATATAAGAGCTACATTGGATTTGTCTGCAAGCATGAAAGTTAAGATGGTTCTGCTACACTTGGGCACTTTTTAGACTTCTGGATGTCTGTGGCAATTAAGCAACCAAAATGACAGTATCTGTAGTCCGTTCTTATTATGTGATTTTCACCTTTTTATACTATTCTGGTGTTACTCAAACAGATAACAGTATGTGAAACTTCAGAGCTGAAGTTTCTTTGATACTAATGAACACTGCTGGAGTTATGGAAAAGTAAAGATTTAATGTAGCTTTTTATTAATCTTGGTTAAAAATAATCCTATGTGACAGCATTAGGATCGCACTGAAAGCAATTCAAGGGAGACAATAAGTATGGCAGCTTTGCCACTATAAAATACTATGTATGATAAACAAGTTGTAATCCAGCAGCAATGGTGATCTGTAAACCCACTGAAGCTTCCTACCTGCTAGGTCTAAAAAGGGACAGGCTCTTATGAGCATATCGATCTTCCCTGATAATAGCTCAGAGTACTCTGAATCATGGCACTGTCTTTTAAGGACAAACAATATGTGTGTCAGAGATAAGATACACCATGAATGTAAATGAAAGCTCAGGCTAAAAAAGACAAAAGTGTGTTTTTTATTCCCTTACACCACTTGCAACTGGGGGGGGGGGGCAGATTAATGCTGGGTGGAATATTAAATACTAAAAAATTAATGGTGGTTGTTGTTGTCTGTTATTCTTTTACCAGAGAGACACTATGACCCACTAGGGATATTGCTTGCTCAAAAGTTAGCTTTAAAATGTTCCTGCTACAAATCACACAGAGGAGAGATTATTCTGCAAGGAATGACAATGCAAGGCTGAGGACACAGAATAGGAACACAATGGGCTGTTGCTTTTAAAAATTCCCAATTCTACAAAAGGCTTGGGTGTGAGACAGTGCTTTACAGTTATTTGGAGATGGTTGGAACAGAACAATACAACAAGATAATCTTCCCATATAGTTACGCTGAGTTTATTCAGAACTGTGACATTGGGAGTATCTAAGATTTCTGCTCCATGTTTCAGATACCATCAGGTAAATTTCCCCCTCCTTCCCCCAAAATTTTAAAAACTGCTAACAATTTTTTTTGGGGGGGAGTGGGAAGATAGGGAGGGAAAAAGCAAAAATCTTTTATGCAGCTTTTCACATAGCAGTACTGAAACATCCTCAATATGTATTTGTAATGGAATAGACTTTCAGTTGTTTTCAATGGAACTTTTATCAGAATGGACCAACATTCACAAATTTTGAACTCTGATCATTCAATTTCTTAAAAGTTCACAGTTTTAATTTACTACAGTAGAAGTTACTGAGATGAAAATTTGTTGAGGAATCTCAACATCTCTTCTAGAAAATACAGGACACCCACCAGAAGCGTAAGCATGGTCTGCAAATAGAAGATCCTGATAACTATTCAGTAAACTTCTGATCTTTACCCTTTTTTCATCTGATAAAAATGTCTAATAATAAATACAAGGCATAAAGACTGAGGGCTACACGTGGGATGAAAGGCAGGCCTAACTCTTCCCTTCCCAAAGGTACCTTTGTGCTATTTGTATGACAGGAGAAAAATCTTGGTGGGAAGAAGGAAAATTGAGGATCATCTGCAGCATTACTTCAATCACCTAATAATGTTCTCAAGTGATGATAATGATGATGATTCTAAACCCCAAATAGATGCCCTTGGAAACATGGACTTCAGCTGCTAGGATTCTCAGGAATGACCATGCTGGCTCTGGGTTGAAGTCCACGCTTCTAGAGGGGACCAAACTGGGGAAAGCAGGCCTAAGTATTTTCCAAGAGGGTAGCTGTGATGGAATGGACTTATGAAGGCCAGGCTCAGAGAGATAAGTGTGTTCTTAGCCCCCAACAGGAGCGTGGGAAATTCAAGAAGATGAGGGGTGAGATTGATGTCAGGTTCAGCTCAAAGAACTCTGAGAGACAATGCAAATACAGTTCTGTTCAATTTATTACCTCCACCCTCAAAACAAAAATCTCACCAGACTAACCTCTATTTCCCAAGCCAGCCAGCCAGCCACAACACCGTGAATTCCTT